GGTGATGGAGGACTGTTAATTGAATTTTTCATAATCATATGAGTAGGCCTTACATTTCCATTGAATTTCATACAGTCTTGCTTCCCGAAAAGTATTATCATCCAGGATCAATTGCCGTTGCGAACTCGCCTAGGTGCCCCCAGCATCCATAACAGGACTCGAACCATAGTAATGCAGCGTATAATCTCGGCACGTTAACCTTTGAGTCTCAGGTCAGATGTCAATTTCAAGAACGGCGCTGCATTTTCCCATACCACATTCTGTGGTGAGAGTTTCTACGAAACAAAGTTATATTTGCTATGGTAACCGATTGCATTTCATATTTTTCGTTTTATAAGTAGTGCCGCTATCGATGCTGATGATACCTAGGTGTGGTACAAACTGCAGTCCACCCTGGCTGAGAATACCTTTTGGGAAGCAAGGTTATGCTAAATTCAATGGAAACATGAGGCCTACTCATATTATTATGAGAAAATTCAACTACCAGTACGAAATAGAATGAATATATCTCGCCTACTGGTAGTCTCGAAAACCTACTTATAAACGAGAAATACGATTGTTATATAAAAACGTGATTACCGCGCGCCCCCAAAGTGAAAATCGTCTAGTAATTTAATCGCAAAAACATCAAGGTCCTATAATATCCGTTATTAGAGTTAAAGCATAGGCTTTTAACAGTGCCCACATTCGAGTTGCCTTCTACTCTGCTATAAGACCCTTCCCTTCTTGAGATGCATTCGCACGTCCTGATAAAGATTCACCTACCTTGAATTCCATCGTGGTTAAGGTCACCTATCCCGGCAACACTGGAACCGAAGCCGCTACCTGGTGATGGGCCATTTTTATCGGAATCCTTCAGCGGTGGTATGAGGCGAATGAAGGAACCGGGCCTTTCGAATGTAAATATCTGACTAGAATCTTCTGATTTTGTCCAAGGTCGTTGATTGAAGAAGACGTAAACTGCACCCGAAAGACTCTCAGTAAAACTATGCAAAGAGGACTCCTTGCTAGTCCCTTCAGGAAAGGCTGAATCGGGGTCACCTACGTCTGAGGAATTATTTAATACAGTATCTTTGAGAGTTGATGAATCGCGATCGTACTTTTCGATAAGCTGAAATGGAGCGCCTACAATTAGGTCATCCCATCTGGATGGGGAATGTAGAATGAGGCAAAAAGCAAGATAGAGGAAAAGAGGCAGTTAGGCATAAAAAAGCAAATAGTTTTTGTCGACAGGATAAACCAGTGAGCTCAAAGCATTAGCCTGAATCTACAATCACTTTGTATGCTTAGGCCTCGTTGGTAATTTGACAAGAACTAATTTAATCGTCTGAAGGACAATCAAACTAATGAAAGTATAAGGCGGTCTCCTGTCATTGGATAAAAATAGTTTGACTTCGTTTCGCAACTTAGTTGACTTTTCAAGGAGACCTAGATGAACTCAGTCCGGAATCAATTAAAATTTCCGGTATCGGAAAAATCCCAAACCTACTGTCCTACATTGGAAACTATATGAAGAGTATCTGGGTTTCGATTAATTTCTTGAGATCACGGTGTTGTGAAGACTATCATTTCGTATGAAAGTACATGAAGAAATATATTAGTTGATCTCATCAAAAGCCCCGTTGTTCTACAGCCGTTTAGCTCTAAAATGGCGTCCAGATTAAAGCAATCCACGAGACACCCTGCATAGTTTCGGGTGAAAAAGGGCTAATCTTTCGTCCGTAAAATTACGGTCATCAGAGCTGAAAGTCATCCTTTCAACAGTCAAGAAGCTAGAAATTATCATGGATATTACGAATAGGGACTACGGACAAGATGCATTTATCTGGATCTCTCTGACAATACGATCAATTTGCGAGAAAGAGGTCAAACTACATTTATAATTACATTATTTTGGGCCAATGACAAGTTTGGGATAAGAGAATCCTCTAGATAAAGCAAGTTGAAGGGTTTGATAAAATAGCACCCGATATATATTAGGAAGGATAGAAAAGAATGCATATTTATAATCTAAGTATTCTGGCTTTAGGCCCTTAGGATTTAGTTGAACTTACTTCCATTTCGAGTGAAAGTCTTTGGAGAAGAGATTCGAAGTTTGATCCCACCAGAATAGGACGGTAGATTCCTCTTGATCAGCTGTCAATTGGATTTACTGGAACATTCTTGTTGATGCTGTTTCCGAGGTAATCTCCTTCGATTCCGGTGAAAACGTGCTAAACTGCCGTCCGTCGTATGACGAACATCGTCAGAGCAGGGTATTATCCTTACAACCAAATTCAAGCTAACAAGTCAAGAGAACTCGCCGACTCATCCCTAAAAAGCTATATATATAATCTATATCTGACCTCTTTGATGAGGTATAAAGAAATTTTATAAGTTCGGGTCATATGTAAACCTCATCAAAGAGGTCAGATATAGATAATATATATATATTTTATATATATATATAGCTTTTAAAGGATGAGCCGGTAAGTATTCTTGCCTCGTTAGCTTGAATTTGGTTGTAAGGATGATACCCTGCTCTGATGATATTCGTCATACGACGGACGAAAGCTTGGAACGTTTTCACCGGAGTCGAAAGAGATTACCTTGGAAACAGTTTTAGCAAGAATATTACATTAAAGCCAATCGAAAGCTGATCAAGAGGAATCCGCCGTAGTCTTCTGGTTGGATTGACCTTCTAATCTCTTCACCAAAAACTTTCATTCGAAATGGAAGTAAGCTCAACAATTACGAAACGAGATTCCTCGAAGCCCAACTTTTGTTCGCATATCTTAGGATTTTATTTGGTTAAAAACTCAGGGTATAAGCTAGAAAAAAACAAAAGATAGGCTATCCTAGTCTAACAAAGCACATTTAGTTGAATCTCGCCATGCGATCTGA